ATGAGTAATTTTCAAGATTAGATAAAGAACATAACAACTTAGCAAAATGTTTATAATGTAAGATTAGGTCAAGAAGATGTTTTTATTGTTTTATCCTTCCTGAATCAGAATTGAGCTTTGATTTTAGGTCAAGAAGATGTTCTCATTGTTTTATCCTTCCTGAATCAGAATTGAGCTTTGATTTTATGCATGATATTATGTAAATAACGGGCAGGTTGTTTATTTTAAGATGCTTGCAGTGGTAAAACATGTTTGTCTTGATTACCCGTCTCAAACGACCTCCCCAAAACAATTACCCATAATTGTACCATTTATGTGTCATTTACATTTACATTGACAGCGAGGTGAAGTTACAGTATCTCGAAATTGATGGGGTTGTTATGGAAATGAAGATACATGTACATGTAATCATATGAAAGCATTAAAAGGGAGCCATCTAGGATTTGAGTGTTGCCATGGACTGGAATGGGAAATGAATTCATTGACTAAAATAATCTTGGAATAGTAGTATTACTCATCAGACATGGAACAAAACTACATTTTATCCTATGTTTTGATATATGCAGATTAATAGCAGTTGTCTTGCACATTTGATACGGTTGCCATGGTGATATGCAAAAATTGACATTGTAAACAAATTCATTGAACTAAATTCCCTCAAAATAGTGGTTTTCCTGTTCCATTTAGCTCGCAAATGTCAGATTTAATATTTTACCATATGATTCAAATATGCAAATGTGGTGGCCATCTTTGATCTGAGAGTGTTGCCTTTATTGATACAAGAAGTGGCATTACTTTTCAGTTTAGCCTTAAGAGGTCACACCACTTAATCCATAGTACTCTGAGGATTTTGTGTTCCTACTCCAATTTTGTGGTTCCCCTACACACTATAGTCTGTATAATTTGATGAATTAAAGTGGTTAATTCAAGTAGTTACCCTTGAATATTGATTAAAATCTGTACAAAACACTTTGGACTGTATATGGGTGCAATTTGATGTAAATTTGACGCTTTTTCGGTGTGGTGGATTGATATTTTGGCCGGTGTGTAGTCAAGCCACATGTCAGCCTTTGATAAGGTAAAATAAGTGGGAAAATCATTAAATCTCCTTGATCAGAGGGTAGCAACAAAATTTGGTGGCAAACCTATAATTTTTTCAAACATTTTGGAGCTTTTGTTAGGTTGTGGGTCAAACCACGTCAAATCACCTGAAATTCAGGCAGTTGTTAACCGGGCCCCCTTTAATTTTGCTCAAATTTGCATCAAATGTTCCCCCAAGTAACTCATGGTATGTATTGAAAAGTCTGAAAGTAGTCCAAATTGAGAGCCGAAGATGGACTGGTTTGTACACAAGCCTATGGAGATATATTTAGTGGTGTGGTACCTTCATGGGTCAAAACTGGCATTTGATCCTATGCTATAACATGCAAATTAGGGACATGCAGTTTGGATTTGACACAGTTGTCGTGGTAATATGACAAACCTGGCATTGTAAGTAAGCATCTTGACCCAAATTACCTCTCAATTTTTGTGCTATTCGTTATCTGTTTACGATCCAACATGTTCGAATATCAGATTTAACATTTTACCTTATGTTTGATATATGCAAATGAGAGGTGGCCATCTTGGATTTTAGAGAGTTAGATTTATGATGGATGCATAATTATGCATCATAGATGATTTTTTTTTTAGTTACATTGCCTTAGAAAAGCAATATGACTCATACTTTTAGTCTTTTTGAAGCAAACTCAAGATTGCTCAATCATTGATATTCAAATTAGGGGCAGCCATCTTAGATCTATGAGTGTTGGTAAGGTGATATGTATAAATTACCATCAGTAATGAAATTACTGAAAAGCATAAAGTCCAAAAAGTAGTTTTAGTCATCATTTTAGTCTTCCTGGATTAATATATTGTTTTAATCATATGTTTTATATATCGATCTGGCTTTTTGTTAATTATGTTAATTACGAAAATTGCTCAAGGGTGGCAAGGTGGCAACCAAGGTGAAATTTGTTATATATCCATCTCGAATATGAATCGATAAAAAAACCTGAGAGTTCCTGGTCCACAAATTTTTTACACGATTAAGTATTCATTGAAGGGAAATGAAGTTGTGACATGAGTGTGCTCTGAATGAATGCAGAAGAATAAACACAAACTAAACAGTTAAACTTTGAGTGAAATCAGCCAATCTGATAAAGAGTTATGATTTTTTTAAAGTTTATGTACGGTAACAATTTTTATGGGGGATTCTTAAGTTGGTAATTCTGGTAGCATCTTAATGTAAGAATGGATGACTGTTTATTGGTGTTGTACACAAGCGTGCAAAAGATAAATTACATAAAATAGTACTTGAAGAATCAGCATAATTCTTTTAGTAATAAAAGAATTGCTTGCAGAATTGATGTAGAAATGTGATACTCAAATAGTAAGTTAAATTTTGATGAAAATGGGTGTGGGGGGGGGGGGGGGGAGAGAATGTGTAAGTATGTGTACAAAACCAATGGAGAGTTGTCCAGTGTTACATCATAGATGCTGGTGGAGTTGCCAACTTAATGATCTCCCATATTAGGGATTTAATTACATGTTTAATATTTATAACTCTTAAACAGATTGTCTGATTTTGATGAAAGTTTGTTTACTTTTTGTTATTTTTCTGCAGTCGCTAAAAGCACATTAATATCTGATTTTATTGTTGTAATGAGTTTGAATCATGCATCAGTAGTTCTAGATATCTGTAGACAATTTGTGTTTAGTACTGAAGTGTTTTTTTTTGTTGGTACTTACATTAAAAAAATGCTTACATTTAAAAAATTAATTATGTGTACAAAACCAATGGAGAGTTGTCCAGTGTTACATCATAGATGCTGGTGGAGTTGCCAACTTAATGATCTTCCATATTAGGGATTTAATTACATGTTTAATATTTATAACTCTTAAACAGATTGTCTGATTTTGATGAAAGTTTGTTTACTTTTTGTTATTTTTCTGCAGTCACTAAAAGCACATTAATATCTGATTTTATTGTTGTAATGAGTTTCAATCATGCATCAGTAGTTCTAGATATCTGTAGATGATTTGTGTTTAGTACTGAAGTGTTTTTTTTTTTGGTACTTACATTAAAAAAATGCTTACATTAAAAAAATTAATTATGTGTACAAAACCAATGGAGAGTTGTCCAGTGTTACATCATAGATGCTGGTGGAGTTGCCAACTTAATGATCTCCCATATTAGGGATTTAATTACATGTTTAATATTTATAACTCTTAAACAGATTGTCTGATTTTGACGAAAGTTTGTTTACTTTTTGTTATTTTTCTGCAGTCACTAAAAGCACATTAATATCTGATTTTATTGTTGTAATGAGTTTCAATCATGCCTCAGTAGTTTTAGATATCTGTAGACAATTTGTGTTTAGTACTGAAGTGTTTTTTTTGTTGGTACTTACATTAAAAAAATGCTTACATTTAAAAAAATAATTATGTGTACAAAACCAATGGAGAGTTGTCCAGTGTTACATCATAGATGCTGGTGGAGTTGCCAACTTAATGATCTCCCATATTAGGGATTTAATTACATGTTTAATATTTATAACTCTTAAACAGATTGTCTGATTTTGATGAAAGTTTGTTTACTTTTTGTTATTTTTCTGCAGTCACTAAAAGCACATTAATATCTGATTTTATTGTTGTAATGAGTTTGAATCATGCATCAGTAGTTCTAGATATCTGTAGACGATTTGTGTTTAGTACTGAAGTGTTTTTTTTTTTGGTACTTACATTAAAAAAATGAAAGTGATTTTTAGAAATTTAATATCAGTTTTATGTATGACCAAATCAATCTGAAATATGTACACGATGACAAATGTTTTAAAAATCATATGGTTGTAATTTGATATAATTGTGACAGTTTTACAAAGTTTAAACATCGTTGTTTTGTTTTATGGTAATTGATTTGTGAAGCAGTTTTGAGTTAAATATTTTGGATAACATCAAGATTAGTGTTTATTTGTTTCTTGTGTTTTGGATAAAAGTAATTATGTTGGATGATTTATATGATGTAATTATAGTGTAAAACATATTGATGTAATGGTGGCTAATAAAAATATATATTTGTTTGAAAAAAATGTTACATTGACTTGTGAATATGGATTGAAGTGTTGTAGGAATTGTGAACAATTTGGTTTGATTAGATTTGAAGTGGTCACGAAAAGCTCAACCTGTTAGTTTACATGTGTGGAAAACAAAATTGTGCTGGAGGGGGGGGGGGGGGCAGTCGCCAGTGAGAATAATATTTGTAAACATCTGTATAAATGAAAACAATATGGCTGATGCCTGATGGAGTGAGCCTAGCTGATATCATATTGAACCTCATTTTAAAGTTGATATGTGATTATTGATAGCACAATCCATGTCACAATGGAATGTTTTGTATAGCTGTGTGAGGTATGAAAACAAATCTATTGCATATACAGAGGGAGGCAGAGCAAGAGAGGGAGAGAGAGAGAGAGAGAGAGAGAGGGTGAAAGAGTAGAGAGAGAGGAGAGAAAGAGATGCAGAGGCAGAGCAATTAAGAGAAGGAGATGGGCAGACCAATAGCGGGGAAGGAAAACGGAGCAGGAGAGAGATTCAATGAAGAACGATCGATGCATTCAATATTTCGAGCACTTAACAGAGTTTAATATTTATTATATAGAGAAAGAGAGAATAGACATGTGAACAATATATTGGTCCATTGAATGGACGCAAACATTGCATATACCTGGGCTTATTAACTGGAAAAAATATAAACGTCTGGGAAGGACACTAGCATCATACAAGGATTCAGATTTCCCGTAGGGTTGTACGCACACTATTGACATTGCTCTCCCAGAAATATAACACGCAAAATTAAGCATTTTATTACATTTTTTTGTGATTATATATATATATATATATATATATATATTTACATATATCGTGTTATATAGTATAGTCGGAAGAAAATGATCAAAAAAAAATAAGAAACGAAAGCCCCCCAAAAAATAATTGTCCACGGATTTGATGTAGAGTCATTGACAAGGAAGTCGGGTGCTTTGACCAATAGACCAAGTAAGTCACGTTGCCGATCTACGTTATTTAGAGGTTATATATTGCACTTTATACATGCGAACGCGCACAGCTTGCGCGCGCGAACGAACGCATAAATGACCACCGTACCAATACAAAAAACGTACACAATTAGACGATTTCTTCAGATTTGTACGTCCGTATAGTGCATAGATCTACGACGCATGCAGTATACTAGTGCAGCGCAGGCCTATAGCCTTCGATTCAATACAGTAAAGCCGTGGTTTAAAGTTTTTGATCGAATGCTGACAAGATTTTCGAGTTGTAGCCTTTCTTCGTCCTTTTTTGGAGTGTTCATGTGTTCTCAATTTATGCCCGTTATGTTGCCGACAGTCTAGTGGAAACTGATACTGATAGTGATATTTGGTATGTTTTAATTTTGTAACAATTATCGTATGAAAATGCACCACTGTCCGATTCCGAAGGTGTTAGATACGGTATGTTTTTTGAGGGTGTACGTTTTGTGACTACGCAGTAGGCCTAGGCCTAACCGGGGGCCTACCGTACGTACGATTGTGTACTTTTACTGAGTAAGGAAAGTGTGAAATGAATTCTAAAAATGAAAAACCTTCTAAAAATATGCCTAGATCTAAATATGATTCATTCTTAGAGAATGTCATTACTTGTTTATTTGCTGTTAAATGTGTTAAAATTACAAATTTGAATAGATCTAGATCTAGATCTAGATTTTAGTTGCTAACTCTGCTGGTCTAGACTGCCGACTCTATCTCTAAGTTACTCCTCTAGATCTAACTAGACTAGTTAGCACTAAAATCTATTCAAATTTGTAATTAAACTTAAATAATAAAGGCAAGGAGGAGGGGGGTTTGGGGCCCTTTTGCAGTTTTCGGCTGGTCTGTTGGATCATTTGGATGTAGGCTATGGTAGACCTATTAAATCCTTTTAAAGATAAAAACCAGTTATGGTCATGCGATTGCATTGTGAAAGAAACATTGTGGAATTGATCAGAAAAGGTTGATCATCTAGCATATGTGTAGGTGTGTGTGTGTATTGGGTTTTTACAGACGTGTATCAATCAGATATGATTATTTACGTCTGGGACCGACCTTTAAACGTCACCATCCGAAAGACGTGACTCAGTTTCGAACCTGCGTCCTCGGCTGAATCAGTTTGTAACTTCCACTTTTTAGCTGGATTACAGGCGCACGCCACAACGCCTAGTACATGTACGTTACAATGTCAATGTGTGTGCTTTTGCCATGAAGGTTTCTGCCATGGGGCTGTTATGCATTATTGGAGACCATTTGGAAAGCCTACGCAAATGCGATCTTTTGATGGGCTGATTAGATTTTTGTTTCATGATTTCTATTGGATATGAAGAATGACATTGTTATCTTTCATTTCATACTAGATCTAAACTTTCTATGATTTATGTTTTTGTCATTTTGTTTTGCTGCACTGTTTCACAAGAGCCGTGTTTAATGTAGTGCTGTAGCCGAACCGCCGAACCGCCGAACCGAACGGAAGTTCACCGAACATGTCACTTCCGAACCGAACCGAACCGGACGCAAAGGCCTGGTTCGGATGTTCGGCAGGAAAATGTTAACGTTTTTGCAAGCTAATAAACTTGTTATTTTTTACCTAATTTTCATGTCATGATTGCTCATTTTATATTAAATTTTTTTCCCATTTTCCGCCTTTGTTTTTTATGCCTATCCAGTGGTGGGCGCAACTTCACTGGCGCCATTTAAATCCCAAATCCTGACCACGCTACGTCGCGATCGCAAGCTATAAACAAGAATAAATGTGCGTGATCAAAACAAGTTCAGCTCAAACCAATTTAACAAAAAAAAAATCAATATTTTAATTGTAACAATATCAGACAAATTTTACAAGATAAATAATGAAATAAATATATATTATAGTATGGCATTTATTTATTCAGGAAAAATAGGGATTTTATATTTTTCCTATTGAAAATAAAAACTTATAAAAAAAAAAATTATTGACAAGTCTGAATCGCTATTCAAGATGGCATCTTTCATGACTCTAACATTTGACAACAACCGTCTCCGAAAATCTTGAAAAATATCATTTATTGACAAATTTAAAACATGATCCTTTTAAAATTGAAAATAAAACATGATTCAAGACGGAAATACGCATGTAAGTAGTACTTTTCTTCACAAATAATTACGTTTAGAGCAGTTTTTTAATGTGAAATTCGTGCTGGTCGGAGGCACTGTTTTTCAGCAGGAGTGGGCAGAAGTCCCCCGTGCTGGACGAGCCTGGCCGGCCGGCCCGCCCAGTGGTGACCGCCGTGGCTATAACGCTGCTTGCTATTATATCACTGAACCGAACCGAACCGAACACGAACATATAGCGTCTGACTTACAGCACTAGTTTAATGCCATTCTGTACCCTGATCCCACTACGAAATTGAGATAAAAAGTATATAAATTGATTGTTTATTCATGTGACTTTGCTTTTGGTGAAATTTAAGCGAAATCTATGGATGAGAAATATGTTTTTTTGGAAGAGGAATCTGAAATGTCATGCAAAAATGACGGCTCCATTAGTGGTTTTTCGCGTATTTACATACACATACATTTTTTGGCGATTTTTGTAATCAAATCACAGCTTTTCTTTTAAAAACAAAGCAATTAAATACATGATTTCCGGGCGTTTAAAATTGGCATAACTTTTTTATTACTCAGGCTATTAGGATGAATGAGGCATCAAATAAAAGATCTTATCAATCTCTGTTTGATGGTATGAAATTTGAAGCAAGAGCTTGAATTCTGAGATTTTTTTTTTTTGTAACATACACCTGTACATGTACCTGTGTGTACTGCAAGGTTCTGGAATCATCAAAATGATAAGAAATTTTGCCCAGTCTTGGTAAAGTTTTAAGCACTGTACACAAAAAGATATATATGGGACTACGTGACACGTAGGCAACACGTGCACAATATCTTTCAGGTCCAATAATCATGTACCAAATATATCAATTAGTAGGTGGTTTTTCTGCAAAATTTGTATCATTCAAATTGGTCAAAACATATTCTTTCACATGATTGGTAATAAGATCTTTCATTTTATTTTTTGAGAGGAGGGCGTTTCCAAAACTGGTCTTTACCTTTAAGTATTGGCTGAGGTATGACCACTTGAATAAATAAATACCCTATGGGAACTCAGTCAGTAAACTTATATTGCTCTCTTCATAACATTACGAGCCAGGGCAATATAACACTGAGCTCGTATAGGACATATATTTATTCAGATGGTCATACCTCAGCCAATACTTAACATATAGATGGTTTTCAACATTTGGGCATTATATTTGATGTTCTTTCGGAAAATGAAGAAAAAAATTGAGAAAATTCAAAAATAGATTTTTATGATGTCACAGGCTCACAGCTTCGGTACTCTATGCACTCTCGGTTCCAGCAGCTAGCAAAGCATAGTAGCAGTCAATGCTAATGTGTATTGACCTCTAGCGCTTTATATATGAATATTTTTTTTACCGTAAATGACTCATTGTGACTGAAATAATTAATATCTGTAATTTCAGCTGATTCACAGCACATCCTGTAGAAAAACTTAAACATTACGACCAAATTTGTGTATACAATTTTACATGGAGATTTTGCGTGCTAGCGCGCATGTGTGGTGACAAAAAAGTATTCAATGAATAATATGAAGTGGCTGATTCGCAAGTTTGCTGGTAGACTCATGTTGATTAGGATTTTTAAAGAATATTTTCTAACATCTGTGTAGGCTATTCTGTTGAAAAGATTGTACTATACTGCTGTTTAGTAGGTGTCATCAATTGTAACTAAAGTACTGATTTTTAGTGAACTTAGTTGAGTTTATACTGTGGTGTTTGAAATGTTGAAAATCAATAGAGGTTGTCTGAACAGTTTTTGATACACAAAAAGTATAACTAGTATATTAATGGTGCTATCAGTGCTATGTCTGCTTCTATGGGCACTTGGGCAGTTTAACTAAAAAAGGTTGGTGTCCACCATTGCAACTTAAAACAAACATTAAGAATAAATATTCTTACATACTGGTACATAATTGTTGTTATTGATTGGTACTGTACATGTATGTCCTCCTTGGACAGGAAATATCTTTAGAACAATTAACTTGTAATTGTTTTCATTTTTAGTCTTAGTCTTATTTCTCATTTTCATTATTTTATTTTCCATGCATGGAAATATGCCCTCACAAGTTAACATCACATGAAGCTTGGAAAGTGTTTGTATCAGTTTATAACTTAAAGGTATTACAAAGTTTTAGTATGGGGTCATGAATTCTGTTCAAATTAAAATATTTGAAGCATGTGCGTTCCTTCAATATTCATTGGTCGTTGTCGCGGTTGAAATCGAGTCTGAAGTTATGAAATTATAAATAATAAACTCTTTAAATTGTATAGCTCCCTCTCAAGGTCAAGATATTAATTTAGCTATGAAACAATTAATGTTTCATGAATATTCCCGTTTGGAAATTATATCACAACTACATATTCTGAGATTTTCATGGTCGCAACTACCATTGTACGGCCATAGACGCTATTTGAAATTAATCATAATTTACCGGGAGCACCGGTAAATTTTTATATTCAATTTTTCTCGAAAACAGAAGTGTTTTAGGGGCTAATTTTTTTTTACTGCTTATACATACATCCACAGGGGCATCCAAATACACTGTATCTCAAAATTGTAAAGATTCACTATCCACCCAATTTTCAAAATTTCCCAAAACTTTGTATTACCTTTAAAATGTTATTATAGATAATTATTATTGAAGTGTAGCATTGTTTGTGTTTTGCCATCTAGTACAGTAGTTATTCATAAGGTAGTTTGATTAAGTGTGGTGTTTACATCTTTCCTTTTAGACGTCATTGAAATCCTGATACTGTAAAGAGAGTGAGAGGGAATCAGTAAATCTGTTGTGGACTGAGCTTATGATTTTACATGAGGATTTAGTGTGCTTGCGCGCATGCGTGGCGACCAAAATATAACAGAATGATGACTGGCTTGTTTGGCAGACTCATGTTTTGTATTTTTAAGGAATATTTTTTATCATGGGTAATTTGAAAAGATTATCTTTACCTGCTATTTAGTAGGTGTCATCAATTGTCACTAAAGAACTTTTGAATGAACTCAGTCAAGTTTTGTAAAGTGGTGTTTGAAATGTTGTGAATCAGTAGAGGTCATTTAGGCCATTATAAAAGATACACATGTTTAGTTTCCTGCCCGCTTCCTTTTTGGAGGCCGCCTCTCCCTTTTTTTTTTTTTTTTTTTTTTGTAATTTAATTTTTTAAAGAAAAAAAACATGAAAAACACAGCTAAAATGGATCGTTATCTGATTTTATAAATTAAAAAAATCTGGCAGCCATCTTGAAAAATAGCCCGACTGTCACAGAAAATGTACCATGCCTCCATTTTGAGCGGCCATTTTGAAAGAAAAAAAAAGGGCCCCTGATCACATGCAGAGTGTGCAGCATTTTTTTTGGAGGCAAAACCAAGACCGCTCTCATGAGACGCTTTTATGGACACAGATCTACCGTCAGCACATGCATGCTCGACATTCCAGTTGGCCATCATTTTAATTCCCCCGACCGATCTATCATCTTTGACATAATTCTATAGGTCCTAGGATCTCTAGGTTTACTGTATTGATTTACTAGTTGCAGCAGGGTGAAATATTGGATGAGACGTTGTTGGCGTTGTTCCCCCATTCACTCCTGTGGGCTCACCATTCAAGAAGGCAGTGATTAAGTTCATCCTCATCATTCTCTGGTTCTTGCTCTATTTTTTTTGTAGAGCAACTGTATGTTTTAAAAAAGTTTATTTTTAAGCTTAGCACTTGAACATAGATGTAATTGATGTAATTTGTTTGTGTGTGGGAAAGCTGTCATTAGAGGAGATTTGGATTTAATACATATTCTTGTTTCTCCTGTTTGTTTTCAGATCTTCCCCTGCTCTGACAACGTGTGGTCAAGTTTGTAAGGCCAGCTATCTGGCTGATGCCTTAGTTTCATGCAGTATACATACAGCAAGGAATTGGCTCCACCGTCGCTCATTCTTCAAGTAAGTTGGGAGGGGGAAGGTTTTTTTTATGCCTCTAAAGTTGCCAGGAAGGTGTTTCATAAAGCTTTTCGTAAAGTTACGCATGACTTGTATATGAAGTGCCAGATAGGATGCCCAAAGTTTTTCCTGATATTTTCAATAACCTCAATTAAATTATGGCAAAAAAATACTTTGCACTAAAAATGTTTGTTATCATAAATATGTTAAGTTACATCTGCACAGTTAAAATTTAGTTGATGTATTTAATAATGATTGAGCATCCCATTTGTCTTTTCATATACAAGTTGTTCGTAAAGTCATGCGTAACTTTATGAACAGCATTATGAAACACCCCCCAGGGGCGATATGTTCTCAGTATGTTCGGGATGACGACAAAGGTAACATGGCTCAATATTGTTGCAAAAATAGCTTGTGATCACGTTATTTCATGAACCATTTGACGGACTCCCACCGTTCCTGATTTGGGGGTATTTAGGGAAAAGGTAAAGATCTCAGTTGTTTGTATGCCCTGGTCCCTCCACTCAGTGTTATTTAGGTTATGCATATGCATGTTCCCAGCAATCCTAACTTTTGAGCAAAAGTCCAGTGTGTAAAGTCAATATGGGTAGATCTTTTTCTTTTGGTACAATGTATATAAGCCTTTTTTTAGCACCCCCCCCCCCCTTTTTTTAGCAAAAGTCCCTTATGTAAAGTCAGTACGGGTAGATCTTTTTCTTTTAATAGGAGCCGGAGATTTTACAAACACTCAAGGTATCCCTCCATTCACGGAGTGGGGGGGGGGGGGGCGGGATGTATGCATGAATAGCTCAAAATTGTGATATCAGATGTAGTTGGCAGATTACTATCAAAAGGGAGTTGACAAATTTGTTTAGTGCATGTTAATTGGTGCTTTTTTTATATATATTGTGCAATGGCGGAGGCATACACAGTCAGAGATCCATCTAGTTTAGTTTTTTACACTTGCATAATTTGTTTCTTTTCTAATTTACAATTTGGACAGCTACACAAACCATTAAGGAAGTTTGCTCTCTCAGGTCTGAGGTCCTGAAACGGGAGTCTCCATCCAGACTACCAATGATAGATCACCTCTTGTGACCGCCTTTTATCGCATCCATCCTTGCCTATTGTGACCGCCTTTCATCGCATCCAACCTCGCTTCTGTTTTATCCTGCATGGTACCGTAATCACCACATTCTCCACACTCTCGACTGTCTCCATTATTCACGTAAGCATCCCTTTGTTTACCCCCCCCCCCCCCCTTCTCAATTTGGCCTTCCTTACTATAGCTCTCTGATTCCTTTGTTCTTATGCCTTCCTCTCTTTCCCCATCCAAATGCCTTCCTATTCAAGGTCTTCATCACTGCTTTCATCAGGCCTCCCCTATTCTTATTTACATTTTTCTTTACCCTCTCTCTTGTCCCATGATATATAACTTATATATATATATTTTTTTTTTTTCTTTGTGGTTTCCTCTCCATTCCCAGCCAAGTTTGATTGGCTGTCACAGCCTCTTTATTGTTCTATGTTTTCGCCCCCTTCCTTAGTTGTATGCATATGTTTGTATTATGTTTAGTACATTATGTTTTTAATGTTCCCTCGTCAGTTAGCCTCTGATGAAGTTTCCGGTAGGATAACAAATTTAGGCCCTATATTAACACTCATTAAATTACAATGATCAGATAAAACTTTGACATGATTTTGTACCTCCTTCATGAAAGCACAATCCCATAGATATACTTCATGTGTGTGTACTTTAAATATAGAAAAGAAAATATCATTTTGAAGGTTGGATAGGTTTTGTTGCGTCTTCAATTGTATGTGTGATAAGGGGAGCTAAACACCAAAGCTATTTTGTAAAACACATATCAACTTCAAGATTGTGTATAGCCTTCTAATATGTTTTCTATAGAGTTTGATAGCAAGTTTTGAGAAAATTGCAATTAATACACAAGTAGTCAACAATAAATTTACACAATTTTGTGTTGGGGTCATTCAATTCATACCAGTTGTATATCCCTTAAAAACCTATGTCCGAAACAAAAATTGTTCATTTCATAAAATATTCAAACTCATGCAAAATAATATGAATGTTAATGATTTAAATGTTATTATATATTTATGTTTTGTATTACAGTTGGAAGTTCTCATCACACTTGTCATCAAACCAGACAGCTTTCAACCAGAATCTTCCAGGTGTAAAAAAAAAAAGGTAAAGTAATACATTAGTAATATGAAATGCATATATTTTGGATTGTAAATCATTTCTTTATTTAAAAAAAAAATATAAAAATACATAGAGTTCTACACATGTACAAAATCACACCCCCAAAATAATGTTTATAACTATATGGAAATAACATGTACATTGTAGGTGTAAATGTCACCCTTTATATTTTGCGATTAATTATAGGTTTTGTCGTCAGATTAGAAGATGATGTAAATCATAGCAGAGGGAAAAAAAAAGATTACCTTTTTTATTAGGTTGGAGAGGTTTTGTTGCATCCTCAATTCTATGTGTGACAAGGAGGGCTCAACACCAAAGCTTTCTTGTAATACACATATCAATTTCAAGATTTCTATAGAGTTTGATAGCAAGTTTTGAGAAAATTGTAATTAATACACAAGTAGTCATTGGTTATTATACAAATGATGCACAGGTTTGAGTGCGTCGGTAGGGATTGTGTGCACAAGGTACCTTTGAATGGTTTTAGACCAAATTCAAAGGTACCGCGTGCACATAATCCCACAGCCCCACAAATTAAACCTGTGCATCATCTGTTTTATAAGATGGGGCCCCCAATATTGTCAAAAATACAAAATTATGTTATTCTACAGATTTACCGGATGCATGGCAAAATCATGCGTCTGGTAATTATAATTACCGGACGCATGATTTTTAAATTTGCATAATTTGTTTGTTGTTACTTAGTGCAATGGATTTAAACAAATGGAGAATGACTTAGGCCTAAACCTTAACAAAATAAAGTCAGTCCTAACTGACCTTTACATGAAACCTTAACAAAAGAAAGTCATTAAATCAATAAAAACTTAGCTCATGAATATGGGCGCTGCCAGTGCTAGCAGACGACGCTGAAAATAGGGAATTTGATGTCTCTAGATATATTTAAGTGTAATTTGGGACTCGGGTTCTGGTTATTTATAGGGAAAGAACCATTAGTAATTACCATAGTAACATTGCTCGATAGCTTATCAAAATCAAGAAATCAATGGTATTTACTATAGTTTGCAGAGATAGCATTAATTGTAAAGATATCATAGTTTTATGTGATGATTGATATGTATGACATACTGAATTGTTTTAATGAGGTTGCACTGTATTATGAAATGTTTGAGTGACATCAAAGTATGCAAATTAGTTGTTACCAAATTTAAATTTGTGATCCGTCAATTATTTGCAGTGATATGTGAAGACCGCGGGGAACTGCCAAAAAAAATAAACGGTCAACAGGGTTGTGAACGCAAATGAACACGATCCATTTGAAATTGCCATGACCTCCACAACAAATTTAACATGTTTAATTTTTGAAGCGGTTCCCGGCAGTATGCACGGATTACTCCGGATTAGAGCTGTAGTATTCCAGTTATTCCAAAAACGGTTATCCTCCCTCGAAATCCGTTTGGTTTTCGGTTAACCTATACCGAATTGTGAGACATAATTTTAATCTGATATGTATCAATTTGCTTGGATTAAACACCAAAGTGTTTATTTTCTTTAGTGGTACAAGGGTTTTGTAGTACTATCAGCCTAATTTCATTTATTTTCTTTGAAAATGTGATTGAACAATAATGATTTTTATCAATTTGATGTTGGTCATGATCAGTTTTACCCATGTTTTTAAAGTATTCAACATTATTTCTGCTTCATCTTGAGCTAAAACCTAAAAATGGTTTCAAATTGAAAACCGGTTTTGACTTTAGACGGTCAGTTTCAGTTTGGTTAACCTTTTGACTACAGCTTTACTGCGGATGAGTGACGGATCACTGTGGATTGAATACGATCAGGCGCGTACGCAGGAATTTTTCAAGGGGGGGGGGGGGGGGGGGGGGGTTTTAACATTTATAAATCGGGCCGAAAATTTCGCAACGACTCAGCCAGCCGCTGAATAAGCGGGGGGGGGGGGGGGGGGGTAAGAGGACACTTTTTTCTTCTTTTGGGGGGTCTCGAAATTTGACATTTGGCTCCGTTGGGGGGGGGGGGGGTAAGGTCACCTTTTTAGGTCAGCCATGGGAATAATAATTTTTTTTTTTTTTTTTTTTTTTTTATAATTAAAAAAAAAAACTAAACGGGGTGGGGGGGAGGTTTAGGGGGGGTTTACACACATAAACCCCCCCCCTGTGTACGCGCCTGAAAACGGTGTTAGTGCCTAAAGCCCCATTTACACATTGACAATTGAAACGGCAATTTATGGCAGTTTTACATTTTATGCGCACGCGGCATACTAGTACCTTGAGCATGTAAAGGCGCTATAAAAATACCAATATGTATGTATGTACTAGATTTAGGAAAATAAAGGTTGACGCATTCTTGATCGCCGACTGAGACGACGTAACGCATGCGCAGTGCCTTGAAATGACGTCACACGTTTCAGTCAAAGCTGTAGACGTGCAAATCTAAAAGTCCCTATTATCCCGTGTGGACGTAATTTAATCAATGAGCTCCACGATTAGCGTGACCTCTCCGTCAACCCTCTGTGCGTCCCTGTAGCTGGGATTATCTCGCCACTTCCGGCCAATGATTGATTGGGAGGGTTGCTTAAAAACTTAATCTTAAACATAAGTTGTCTTGTGGACGCTCATTATTTATGGGGTAAGCTCTTATTGATGATTAGCAATTGTCGATGATTAGGTACTGTTTAAATGTAACTATTGTAGGACATTATAGGCCTGCTGTTGTGGAGGAACGTGGGACAGATTTATTGCTTTAAAGGTAGGCGTGAATTAGATCTCTAAATTTGAATCTTACAACAAAAAAAAACAAAAAAAATGTTATACAATTTTGATAATAGCTAGGTAGCTTCCAAAGAATGAATGGAATCTTGATACATATTTGTACTGCCTTCATGCTATCTTGAAGAAAAGTATCAGGTTGGATAATTAATGTAGGTGACCTTTGGGAAAAATCAATTCTAGCATAATAATTTAGCATGAAAAGTGCATACGGTAAGTAGTGTTTTGTCAAGCCCAGGGCCCCGTTGCATAAAACTATTGTATCTTAACAATTTATGGTATCTGTGCAAACTATGGTTATTACCATAGCAATACTGCTTGATAGCTAATCAAAATCAAGAAATCAATGGTATTTACCATAGTTTGCAGAGATACCATTAATTGTAAAGATACAATAGTTTTATGCAATGGGGCCTTGATGGTTGATATGTATGAAATACTAAATTGTTATAATGAGGTTGGACTGTATTATGAAATGTTTGAGTGACATCAAAGTATGCAAATTAGTTGTTACCAAAGTTGAATTTGTGATGGAATCTGACTTGGTTTTATTCATTTTTTTGTATTGTATATTTTTGTCATGTTTTACTTGTATTTTTCATTTTTTGTTTTGATGACAGGTGCCATCTGCCATTTGGACTTTGACTGAATAAAGTTTTTGGAGTGTAGGTATACCGAGTGTCTGAAACAAAAGTTGACACTTTTGAATATTCTGCCAAATAAAAAATGTGAAACATTTTTGAGAAATTGTCATATGTATGGATGGTTGAAGCTCTCGTCTATCATATGGCAATAACAAATCTAATAATAATTGTTTCTTGGGTAAGCACTGGCCACTTTTGTAAAGGGTATGAAAATTAGGTTGCGCAAGATTTGGCTGAGCGAGAAGTCCCCCAGCATAACAATTGTTAATGGTCTGTTGAATTTATGATTAATTACGATGGATATGGGTTTGGGCTGTGTATGATGTGTCCCACCTCTTGCCCCACCCCACCCAACTACATTTAAAGGAGAATGAAACCCTGATTTTTAGTCTTAGGCCAAAAAAAAAAAAATTGTTCGGTTGTCCTCGATTGCTTTTCTGGAGTAGGGGCAGGCGGGCGGATTTTTTTTTTTTTTTTTTTTTTTTTTAAATTCATTTTTTGTGTGTATTTTTTTTATTTTGATTTTTTTTATTTTTTTTTCTTTGAAATACAGCACCTTTTAAATCTCCATTGTACTACTTATAGCTACTTGCGCCCTCTTTGTAGCAAACAATGCCTAATCGGTGACCATTGGTCCCCATGATCCTCTTTATCTTATATTAACTGAGAGCTGATTTGATGAGATAACCACCTGTCCAGTGACCTTGCAGGGTGGTCTAATCCCTCCTGTAAACTAGTACAGATGGGGTTTAAAATGAGTTTAAGATTTGAATAAACGGCATTTTGACATAGAAAAATAAAAATGGCAAGTTTAATAAATACCTAATTGCGTACTGAAAAGATCAAACTGGCAACGGGACGCATTTTGATCCTTGCAAATGCATAAAATGGTATGTTTGGCATTTAAGATTGCTCCCCCCCCCCAAAAAAAAAAAAATGAAAAAAAAAAATGAAAAAATGAAAAAAAAAGAAAACAAAATTGAATTAAAAAAAAAATATATTAAAAAAAAAAAAAAAAAAATACGAGCGGCCCGAAATTGACGAGCGGGCGGTCGAGGACAACCAAACAACTTTTTTTTTTTGGCCTTATTGTGTTAATCAAAAGTTAAATAATTATTATTCAGGTACAGAAATTATGCTTGCACAACGACTGCAAGCGAAACCAGAGCCGCATGAAGATCCCCTACTATGCGGTTGTCTGCTTCAACAGGAGGTTCCACTGTACTAACAAACAAAAAAAATTCATGAGGTCATTTTGCTGGTCTCAACTATTTTTATTTCTTTGGGGTTTTTTTTGGGCTAATATAACAAGGTAATTTTTATGGTCCCAAGGGCTTTGTTATAATGAGATTGTACTGTATATCAAAACATTCAAAATGGGCCTAAATTATACTGCCCTACTTTGGCAAAAGGAAGCAAGTGACATACCATCTAAATTTGAGTTATTGATGTTTTTATATCTGCAAATGACAGACACATTTTGTTTCTTTACAAGACATTTCACGACTCACGACAAGCCTCTAGCACTCTAAAGCTAGTTGGTGAGTCAAAGAAGAGTTGTGGTATACAACACCTTGTCTGTGTGCGGGCAACTCACGACAATAACCCTAGCACTCTTAAGCTAGTTGGTGAGTCAAAGAAGAGTTGTGGTGGACAGTCAGGGAAAGTCTGTGTACGGGAAACTCACGACAATAAGCCTCTAGCACTCTAAAGCTAGTTGGTGAGACAAAGAAGAGTTGTGGTAGACAGCACCTTGTCTGTGTGCGGGCAACTCACGACAATAAGCCTCTAGCACTCTTAAGCTAGTTGGTGAGTCAAAGAAGAGTTGTGGTAGACAGTCAGGGAAAGTCTGTGTGCGGGCAACTCACGTCCATAAGCTTCTAGCACTCTAAAGCTAGTTGGTGAGTCAAAGAAGAGTTGTGGTAGACAGCACCTTGTCTGTGTGCGGGCAACTCACGACAATAAGCCTCTAGCACTCTTAAGCTAGTTGGTGAGTCAAAGAAGAGTTGTGGTAGACAGTCAGGGAAAGTCTGTGTGCGGGCAACTCACGACAATAAGCCTCTAGCATTGTGGTAGACAGCAAAACATTTTACAGCTTTGACAATATTTACGACTTGAACTTTGAACTTTTGTCACTTGCTTCCTTTTGCCAAAGTAGGACAGTATAATCTAATACAATACATATGCTATCAACTTTTTTTCTTGTGTTTCTCTTTGACAGGTACTGGTTGAAGCAGATTTCATTATCATCTCCATCTCATCTCATACCATCTCATCTCATACCATTTCATCTTCACCCACAAAACTCATAATCTTGAGTTTTTGAGAAAAGCACTCATTCAAACCTTCATCTATCATAAAGTCTGTGTGCGGGCAACTCACGACAATAACCCTAGCACTCTTAAGCTTTGGTGAGTCAAAGAAGAGTTGTGGTATACAGCACCTTGTCTGTGTGCGGGCAACTCACGACAATAACCCTAGCACTCTTAAGCTTTGGTGAGTCAAAGAAGAGTTGTGGTAGACAGTCAGGGAAAGTCTGTTTGCGGGCAATTCACGACAATAAGCCTCTAGCACTCTTAAGCTAGGTTGGTGAGTCAAAGAAGAGTTGTGGTAGACAGCAACTTGTCTGTGTGCGGGCAACTCACGACAATAACCCTAGCACTCTTAAGCTTTGGTGAGTCAAAGAAGAGTTGTGGTAGACAGTCAGGAAATTTTACAATTTTGAACATATTGACGAATTTACGAACTTGAACATTTGAATCCTTCATTATCTTACTCTATCTACTCAATCTGAATCTTCATTATCTTACTCTGTCTACTCAATCTGAATCTTTATTATCTTACTCTATCTACTCAATCTGAATCTTCATTATCTTACTCTATCTACTCAATCTGAATCTTCATTATCTTACTCTATCTACTCAATCTGAATCTTCATTATCTTACTCTATCTACTCAATCTGAATCTTCATTATCTTACTCTTCTACTCAATCTGAATCTTCATTATCTTACTCTATCTACTCAATCTGAATCTTCATTATCTTACTCTGTCTACTCAATCTGAATCTTTATTATCTTACTCTATCTACTCAATCTGAATCTTCATTATCTTACTCTGTCTTACTGAAACTCAATCTTGATCTTACTCTGTCTTTCTGAAATTGAATCTTCAATTTCTGTGTTGTGTTGCTCAAACTGTGTGAAATTGTGTGAAAACTAGAAAATAAGATACGAAACGAGATTTGACAAGAGTGTTAATAAACAATAAAGAGAAGAAAATTTCTTTTTGAGTTGATTTTTAGTGAAAGAAATAAAGCTGACTGGTTGATTGCTTGTTTAAGATATTGGAGAAAATTGTTAGTGTATAGAGAAAAAAAGTGAATTGATTGAATAACTGAATTGTTAGAAATTGATTGTGAGAGATAGAGATATTTTTGATTGGTTGGTTGATTGAGTGATTTGATAAAAGTGAAATTCGTGAATATTACCTTTAGCATATAAGGTTGAATATAGAAACATAACTTTAAGACCAACAAGAGTGTTAATAAACAATAAATAAAAGAAAATTTCTTTTTTGAGTTGATTTTTAGTGAAAGAAATAAAGTTGACTGGTTGATTGCTTGTTTAAGATATTGGAAAAAATTGTACAGAGAAAAAAAAGTGAATTGATTGAATAACTGAATTGGTAGAAATCGATTGTGAGAGAGATATTTTTGATTGGTTGGTTGATTGAGTGATTTGATAAAAGTAAAATTTGTGAATATTACCTCTAGCATATAAGGTTGAATTTAGAAACATAACTTTAAGACCAACTAAGGCAAAACTAGAACACTTCGTACTAGCAGAGAGAAAGTAGAGGAATTACACGATAAAAATAACAAAACGCAGAAGTTTATTTTAAAGAGCGCCATCTTGAGGCAAAAACAATACTTCCAAACACATCGTAAACAGAAATTTAGTTACATCGAGGTATTAATTTATTTTGGTCTTTACTGAGACGACGGTTTGAAGAACACATTCTACTTTTGTATTGATATAGGGTTGTATAAAAGTGTTGTTGATTGATAAAGAAAGAAATTTGTGTCTGGATATAGGCTCCTGTAGTGTTCATAGCTTTAGTATTATAAGTAAGCCGATTGCAGAGAGGTTGAGAACGAACATTGTATCCGGATATAAATATAGTTTTATAAATATAAATCGGCTTGATCGATTAGAAAGATAATAAGAAAAATATTTAAATTAGGATATAAAGTGGACTTTTTTTACACAGAGTTTTAATACAGATTGTTGTTAATAGAGCGCCATCACAAGGCAAATTAATATAATAAAGAGAAATTCCGTCACGATCAATACCTTCTAGATTAATATTTAACACAATTGCCGAAGAGCGCCATCTTTTGTTGAAAGCTATATATTTTTCTAGGCATTAATTTTCATTTTTGTTAAAAGGAAATAATTCCAAGAAGGAATACAGTATTGACAAGATATTGCATTGTCTATTATACAAGATACAACATACATTGACCTATAATCCATACATTTAACTTTAAAAAATAAAGAAATCCCCCCAAAAGCAAACACTTTGAACAGCAAATCAAAGACCATTACAAGGCAATTTGAGGTGATCAAGACATTACAGCTCGAATAGAAGGCTTCCTCTAAAGAAGTTTTTATCTTGAAACAAAAACATAACAGTCTGTATATAGTTCAGGCTTTGATATACACTGAATTTCAGTAAAGATTTTGAATTGATATTGACAACAGTGATACTTCAAATTACAATTGTGCATCATAATTTGAATACAGATACACTGTATAAGATAATTTGGAACGGAAAACCTTGTCTTGGCAAAAAAGCAAAAGGGCAGTTGTAATCTTATAGTTCAAAGCTTTGTACGAAATATTTTGTGATGGAGGAATACACTGATACATGTTGTGTTTGTAAGAATTTAATTGGAGAGGATGAGATTACTGTAACTTGCAAGTCATGTACTGGTCCCTATCATGTTACTTGTATGGGTTTTCCATGTAAGGAGACAATCAATGACACAAATGATAGAAGATTGATAGACACTACTGAATTCAAGACAGTTGTTGATGAAATCTTAGATGTACTGTCTACTTGTGCACCGCTGATGAATTCAGAGTTTGATGCATGCTGCATATGTGAAAGTGAGATCGGAAATGAAATAAGTTCAATTTGTGAGTTTTGCAATAGTCATTTTCATGTTTCATGTATGCAACTGCCCTGTGAAGACAAACTGAATGATAGGAGATTGATTTGGATTTGTTCTTTGTGTGGAAATAACAACATCGCTCATCGCATGTTTGATCAAGTATGTATCCCTTCTCATTTCAATAGATACGAACTTCTTGGTGATCATGATGAACACTGTTACTTGGATTTGAACCAATCAAGGACCCTATCAAGTACGACCAACAAAAGAAAATGTGGCAGATCAAAGAAGAGGTATGGTAAAAAGGGAAAGAAAACCAATCGATTGAGAGGAACACAACATCATATAACTGACAGGAAAACAAATGAGTCTGATAGACATAATCCTTTGGCTATGGAAAATCCATCCCAAATAGAACACGAAGAGATGCAAAATGAAAAATTTGAGGATGACTGGGTAATTGTGAAATCAAGAAAGACGAAATGGGTGGAGAAACTAAAATCAAGAAAATTGTATCCCAAATCAATAGATGATCATCAAACAGACAGGAAAATCAGAAGAAAATCAGTGAATGGTGTAGTCTTGGAACCAGGTGTGACTTACATTGGCAAAGCAATGAAGACATTCTATGAAAGTCATGAGAAAAAAAATGGAAACCGAAAGAAAAATGTATGTAAGGAAAACAAGAATGTGAAAAGAGAAGATGTCAGTTTGCAGTCTTATGTAGAAACTCTTTTGGCTATATATGCATACAGTGTGCAATCCCCATGTTCAATGAAATTGTACAGTGAGACCTGTGTGCAAATTGAAACGATGCAGACACGATCTTGGGCTGACGTAGCAGGTTATTTGCCATCTCGATCAAGAACAGATTCATGTGTTGATATTCATGCCTGCACTCGTAATCTTTTTGAACAGATCAAGGATTTCCGAATGTACAGAGTTCATGCTGGTGGCAAGAGAAAAGAAGCAAAGAACAAGAAAGGTCGAGCAAGGAACAAGAAAGGTCAGTCTTCCAAAGCCGGGAAAAAAGGCACTGATGGAAATCACTCTTCTGATAAATCAGAGATTAGAATTGACAAAGATGAAGGAATAGAATTAGCAGTAAATAATGAGAAGCTGGATACAAAGAAATCTATGAATGCAAGTGACCAAGGACTTGATCCAAATACATGTAAAAATGATGAACACTCAGACCAGCATATTTGCAATATGAAAGACAACAAAGGTTCAGATGGAGTTGTGCAGGACGATTCAAACAATAATCTGTTGAAATCAAATTTTGATGAAAATAGGGAAATTGAAACAGACGATGATAGTGGCAGTGATGTTTATATACCAGTGAAACGTTCGTGTGCAAGAAATTGTTTAGAATCTGATAGTGATACAGACACAAGTCCTGGATGTGATTTATTCGATAGAAGTGTTTTACCAGAACGCAATATGCCTTTGAATGTTTGTGATAGACCAAAAGATATGCCCAGAAATGAACCAGTAGACAATGTCTGTGAATCGGTATTGGAAAATGATGATATGATGAAAAATGATTTTTCAGATGTTTCAGATGGTGTACAAGAAGATGCAGTGTTTGACAATGACCTGAAGAATAGAAGCTTTGATACAGTAAAAGATGGTACTGACAATGATACTGATATGTCATTTAATGATAATGCTCATTCAAGGAATCCTTTAGAATCTTCTTCAGATTCAAATATCAAAGATGAAGACATTGAAAAGGCAATAGATGCTAATATGTACACATGTACTGATGAAACAGAAACAGAAGTTGAATTTGTAGCAGATCTTGGATTACGTGATAGACCAGATAAAGATTTCAAATTTGTACCCCTCCAGAATAATGACAAACAGAACATTTGTTCAAAACTGAATATCGGATATATAGGCAAAGGCTGTGATTCAAGGTTAGATAGAAATAGCTCTATTGGAGTTCCTTTACAGAGTAAACAAATTACTGGTGATGGCAATTGTTTCTTTCGTGCAATTTCCTATGTAATTTCTGGAACTGAGCGTAATCATGCAATTTTAAGAAATGCCACTGTGAAACATTTATTGCAAACCAAGGACATGTTTAGTAATACATTGAGGCAAGAATATAGAACAGTCAGAGAATATGTTTTGAAACGTAGAATAAAGGAAGACGGAACGTGGGCTACAGACACTGAAATTAGCGCTTTTGCAAATTTAATCGATACTGATATTTATTCATACAATGACCAAGTACCATGTTGGCAATTGTTCTCTGCAAAGAAACCTGGAAGAATAAATATTGTAACATCTGATAAGGGAATTTATATACTGTACACAGGAAATGTTCATTTTAATGTTGTTGAATCTGTAGATTTTGTCAATTTCAATTCATTGGAACAGACAAGAACAACTAAAGAAGATAGAACGTCAAAGAGAACTTTGTCATGTCCATCAATTCAGGCTGATGTTAAAGTAAAGCATGTGTTCAAGAAGTGTAGATCCAAGTCGCAGATAGAGGAAGAAATTGATGAAGTAGTGGATAAGTCTCCTGAAACATTTCAAAACCATATTGATCCAAAGGGAAAAAAACGTAGGCTCACGTTGGAAACTGGTACGATAAATCACGATGAGAGGAAAGGTACTGCAAATCTTTTTGACATGACATATGAACAGTGTGCAAGTAATCAGTCTGAATCAGTCGTTCACAACGAACGTAACACCAAGGACGAAACCCTTGAAAGTGATCACAAAGACAAATGCACGAGAGTCGATACACAAATAACGCTTGTTGCCCAAGGGACATTCAATCAAGGTGATACAAGATTTGGTGACTTAAGTGGAAAGCAGTGTGTTACCAATTCACTTTCTGCACTGTTGTATAGCAAGATAAAAAATGCCAATGATTGGAAAAGTACAGATCTAGACAGGATTTTGAATAACGGTAATGAATTATACTGTTACATACGGCGATCCACTTCACTCGACAACCAATACTTATTGATATCTGATCTATTTGAATATTTGGATGCGTACAATGAATTGTTTAACATAGTACGCCGTGAACCAGTCACTGGATTGTTAGATGGAGATGAATTGATATTGGCCCAGTCTCTTTCGATGACATTGAAGCAAGCACTCGAAAAAGAACTCTGTACTGATTCTGATGCATGTTTTGTGACATTTGCTAGAAGTACTTTCATTGTATTATCTGGTCAAGATGGTTTCTTTATATTTGATTCACATTCCAGAAGCAGTCGAGGTTTCCTGAGTTGTAACGGACACAGTGTTGTACTTCGTACTCAAAGCTGGCAAGGTGTGTACAAGCATTGCATGAGGTTAGCAAAATCAATGGGATGCCCCCTGCACACCGAATATGAAGTAACTAGTGTATGTGCTAAAGCAACTTCCGGTAAGAATGAAACCTTGAAAGGCTATCCACAGTTACAGGATTTTGTTTGTAATCCAATTCCTTCGTCAAATACGCACAGTGAAAGTCAGTCTGGAAGCTCTGGATGTTCCATACATTGTGAAAGCTTTGATGAAGTTCAAATATTGGATGAGAGTGTTTCCCCACAAAAGATGATTGATAACCCAAATGTATTTCTATTCCCTGAAGAAGCAAATGAAACAATCATTCATGATGTACATTATAACGGTCAGCACCCACAAAAGATGATTGATAACCCAAATGTATTTCTCTTCCCTGAAGAAGCAAATGAAACAATCATTCATGATGTACATTATAACGGTCAGGAATTGAAACTGAAGAGTGTGACAATTGGCTTAACCAAATTAAAAGAATCCCAGCTGAATAATAGTTGTCTTCTGAAAGGAAATGACTCTATAAATACAAAATATGAAAATGAACAAAAAGGAGATTCCAAAAATTGTACTAAATCCAGGAATGACTCTGATAGATTAAATTTAGTGAACAAAGTTCAGAATTCCAACTCTATCTTAAGCAGAAAACGAAAATGGAGTAACCTCGAAAGCGATGCAAACGTTGATGTCGACCTTGGCAAGGAAATTCGAAAAACCAAATTGCTAAAAATGAATGAGAACGACAGCTTAAGAATTGATGCAAGCGAATGTGCTGATAGTCATGATGAATTAATAGTAATTGGAGAAGTTCATGTTAGAAATGTAGACCATGGAAAGAAAAAACGTAAAAATAGACAAAGTTCTAATAAAAAAAGGAAGCGCATGAGACAGCAAATGAGAGAAAAACGAGCCCTGGCCAAAGATGAAATCATTAAGAAAAAGGAAAAGTGTATTCACAATGCGCAAATGAAAAAAATTAAAATGAAAAATAAATATCAAAATGATTTAACCTACAAAATAGAAAAAATAAATGAAGTAAAAAAAAGGCAAAAAGAAATGTATGAAGAGGATTCAAATTTCAGGAACATACAGCTAAATATGATGAAAACCAAATATCATTTTGATTCACGTTATAAAAAGAAAATTTTGTATGGAAATAAACAAAAATATTTGAGAAATGAAGGATTCAAAGAAAATGTTAAAACAGCTATGAGGATTAAAATGAAAAATAGATATTGGAACGATGAACTATTTCAACGAATGCACAAGAGTAGAATAAGAAGTAAATACCAGCATGATGAACTATTTAAACGAATGCATAAAAGCAAATTAAGAAGTAAATATTTGAACAACAAACATTTTAAGAAAAAACAACAAGATATCATGAAAAAACGAATAAAGGAATTATACCGCAATGATGAAAATTTTAAGAAAAAACAACAAGATATCATGAAAAAACGAATAAAGGAATTATATCGCAACGATGAAAATTTTAGAAAAAACAACAAGATATCATGAAAAAACGAATAAAGGAATTATATCTCAACGATGAAAATTTTAAGAAAAAACAACAAGATATCATGAAAAAACGAATAAAGGAATTATATCGCAACAATGAAAATTTTAAGAAAAAACAACAAGATATCATGAAAAAACGAATAAAGGAATTATATCGCAACGATGAAAATTTTAGGGAAAAACAACAAGATATCATGAAAAAACAAATGCAGAAATTATATCGCAACGATCAACAATTTAAACATACAAAAAAGGCAAATATGAAAACATTGTCCAAAATTAGATATAAAGGCAACGAATTTAAGGAAAAGAAATTGATGAGCTTAAAAATTAAATATAAAAGAATTGAAAAATATAGGCAAAATGTAATAAAACAAAATCGAAAAAGGTCTGTACTTCGAACAGTAAAATTGTCCGAGTTTGATATTGTACTTGAAGAATTTAGAAAGATAATTTCTCATGGCCCAGAATATGTGTGCTGTGTATGCTTAAAACTTCTCTTTGACAACCAAGTATTGAAATGTAAAAAGAGTAATTATAAAATTCAGACATGCATAAGTGAAGAATATTTGCATGTTTGCAATTCAGAATGCCGGTCAAAATGTTTAATAGGCCAGTCAGCCAGATCGTCACTATGGATATGCTTCACCTGTCATAGAAAATTGCAAGCTGGAAAAGTACCTGCAGAAGCAAATATGAACAATTTACAACTACATGAAGTTCCAAAAGAACTTGCCAATCTGAACAATTTAGAACAGCATTTGATTGCATTGAATATCCCTTTCATGAAGTTAATGGCCTTGCCTAAAGGTGGTCAAAATGGAGTCCATGGCCCAGTCGTGTGCGTGCCTTCAAACACTTATGAAACAGTAGATATGTTGCCAAGACCACAGACTGAAGATCAATTGATCCGTGTTAAACTCAAAAGAAAATTGTCGTACAAAAGCTATTATGAGTACAAATTTGTAGATAAATCTAACTTGCTTAATGCTCTGCAGTATTTAAAAGCAAATAATAAGTGGTATTTTGATGTTACAGTAAATGATAAATGGGAAAACTCACTTGAACGAAATGAAAAAGATAATGAAAAGGAAGAAGCAGTGGAAATCGGTGGTAAAGCTCGTTTAGCAAAATATTGGAAGGAAATGGAAGAACAAATTGATTACATTTTGTCCAAAGACAAAAATGCTAATGAAAACATGCAAAACAACAGTAAACTACAAAAAAAATAGATGACAAGGACACTGAAGACGATATGGAAGAACGATTACGCGGTATTCAGTTAGACTCGTGTCTCCAGCCAGTAGATATTGGACAGGAAATATTAGATCAGTATTTTGAAGACATAATATGTTGTGCTCCTTGTGAAGGAAGAAGCCCTGTATCAATTCTACAAGATGAAAGCAATGAGGCCAAATGTTTCCCAGTATTATTTCCTAAAGGTCAACCAACATTCCATGATAGAAGAGATGAAAAAATAACATTAGGACGTTATCTGCATAACCGACTGATGCACGTGGACAATAGATTTGCTCAGAATACAGATTACATCTTTTATGCACAATATATTTATGAAATTCAACAGGTTATATCACAAGTTTCTATCGCTTTAAGGCAAAGTCCAAACAAAAAAGATGATTCGTCTTCAATAACTGCCTCAGATTTGAAAGATGCAGAGAAAGTTAAAAAAATACTAAAATCAGACAAGGGCTATAAATTTTTAAAGCAAATTCGTGGAACACCTCCATTCTGGCAAAAGACACAAAAAGATGTTCTCGCAATGGTACGACAGCTTGGAAAGCCGACATGGTTTGCTTCTTTCTCATCTGCCGATATGAGATGGCCAGAATTAATGAATACATTGCTTAGACAAAAAGGAGACACCAGGGAATCGAGTGAATTAGACTATACAGAAAAATGTAATCTTTTAAGATCAAATCCAGTAACAGTTGCCAGAATGTTTGATAAAAGATTTCACACTTTTATGAAGAGAGTTATTTTATCTCCCGCTGCACCGATTGGTAAAGTAGTTGATTCATTTTGGAGAGTAGAGTATCAAGCCCGTGGTTCCCCTCACATTCATGCCTTGTTCTGGGTTCAAAATGCTCCACAGTTGGGTATCGATAAAGATGATGATGTCGTACAATTCGTAGATAAATACATTTCTTGCCAGAAACCGGATGAAAAGGAAGATCAAGAACTACATGAAATAGTGAGCAAGGTCCAACAACACAGTAAGAAACATTCTAAATCTTGCACAAAAACGGGAAAAGCGTGTAGATTTAATTTCCCAAGACCACCATCCGAAAAAACATTCATTGTAACACCTGTTGAAGAGATTCCAGCTAAAGATTGTGGGAAAGTGCAAAATAAGGGAAAGGACAATGATCAAATTAAAGCTTCTAAAAAGATTAAAGATGATGCAGAGAAATTGTTGAAGTCAGTTAAAGATGCATTATCCAATGGAATCGAGTACAACAGTGTAAACCATCTCTTTGAAAAGCTTGGCATTACACAAAATCAATTTGAGAATGCACATAATGAATTAGCATCACAACAAAGTATAATCATCAAAAGAGAAATACAAGATGTATGGGTAAATCAGTTTAATCCAAGTCTACTAAGAAGCTGGAATGCCAACATGGATTTGCAGTTCGTAACAAATGTATTTGCATGCGTGGCTTATATTGTATCCTACATGTCAAAAGCTGAACGAGAAATCGGAATGCTATTGAGTCATACACTATCAGAAATGAAAGAGGGAAATGAAAATGCAAAGGAAAGCATGAAAAAACTTGGCCAGGTGTACATGCAAAATCGTGAAGTGTCTGCTCAAGAAAGCGTCTATCGTGTTTGCAGTCTCAGATTGAAAGAATGTTCTAGGAAAGTGGAATTCATTCCTGTTGGACCCGACCCTGTCAGAATGAGTTTACCATTAAGCATTATAAAAAGCAGACCAGATAACGATAATGATGATGATGAGAATGTTTGGATGCCTAGCAAGCTCGACAGATACAAAGCTCGACCTAGAAACGCAGAATTCAGTGATATGTGTCTTGCAACGTTTTGTTCTCAGTATAGAATCTTAACTGCATCCCAAAAGCCAAGTACAAGAAGTAAAAATGTCTTTAAATTAGATAACGATCTGGGGTATATTCAGAAGCGTACTCGTACGGGAGATGCAGTTGTAAGATATCCCCGATTCTCACCCATCATCTCACCCGAAAAATATTATTTGAGCATTTTGCAACTCTTTCTGCCATATTTTGAAGATGGACAATTAAAGCCCCCAACATTTGAAACACATGAAGAGTTCTACGAGACAGGTTCTGTGAAAATATGTGGACGTGAATTGGAGAAAGTCTGGTCAATTGTCTGTACTAACCGAAAGAAGTTTGAAATGAATGCCGATGCAATTGATCATGCACAGGAGCATCTTGACAAATTTGGTCCACACGAAGATGCATGGGGTCTTTTATGTCCGGAAAAGGAAGTAGAGCGACTTGAACATCCCAAAGAAAATGTAGATGTTGAAGATTGTGATGGAGATCTTGATATCCCAGATTTAAAGAATGAACCGAAAAAAGATGACTATAGCATCGAACTACGTTCAGTAAAAATTTCCAAACAAGATGGACATTCTTTGATGAGGTCTTTGAATGAGAAGCAACAGAGTGTTTTTTACAAAATACGACAGTGGTGTTTAGATAGAGTAAATGGAAAATCGGTCGAACCGTTTCATATGTTTCTAACTGGAGGTGCTGGCACTGGAAAGAGTCATTTGATCAAATGTCTTTACTATGAAGCAACACGTATACTAGCCCGAATGTTGCCACATCCTGATGATGTCTCAGTATTGAAAATGGCTCCAACCGGAGTAGCTGCATACAATATCAATGGCCATACTATACATAGTATTCTTTCTATTCCAATCAATGCACAAGTACTGTATCAACCGCTGAGTGATGAGAAAATAAGTGTCCTTCGAAATAAGCTGGCTGAATTGCAAATTTTAATCATAGATGAAGTATCAATGGTAGATCAAAAGATGATGTCTTACATTCACGGCCGCCTACGACAAATAAAACAATCACGAGATCAAACTGCTTTTGCTGGTGTTTCAGTTATTGCTGTGGGAGACATGTATCAGTTACCTCCAGTCTTAGGAACTCCTTTATATAAAGACACACTCAATGGTGCATTGTGGAATGCTAATTTCAAGAAAGTAGAACTTGAAGACATTATGAGACAAAAAGACGATGCCCAATTCGCTTTTCTCTTAAATAGATTACGTGTAAAGCAAGGGGAAGAGATTCTCTGTGATGAAGACCTAGCAATGCTCAAGTCCTGTGAGACTGGTGAAGAATGTGAAAATGCTCTGCATATCTATGCATGTAACAATCAAGTAGATGCTTGGAACAAGAAATTATTGCATAAAAAATGTGGAGATGTGATATGCGTAAAAGCACAAGACATGGACAAAGATGTTAAAAAAGGAAATCAAATACGGGAAAAACCTTATACAAAGATGAAAACCCAGTTGCCTCCTTATCTGTGGATTGCAGTTAATGCTAGAGTGATGTTGCTCAAAAACATTGATGTTAGTAAAGGCCTGACAAATGGATGTTTCGGAAATGTAACAGAAATAATAACGGATCATACAAATTTGAATCCAGTTTGCATCAAAGTTAATTTTGAGAAGGCCGATATTGGTATTCATTCAATCGAAATGTCTCAAGAATCCATTGGTAAGAAATATGTGAGAAAACAATTTCCACTTAAGCTTGCTTATGCTTGCACAATTCATAAAGTACAAGGTTCGACATTAGACAAAGCTGTTGTATCATTAAAAAATGTATTTCAATCTGGACAGGCATATGTTGGGCTTAGTCGCGTTACTTCGTTATCTGGACTTGTGATAGAACATTTCGATCCTAAACGTATATATTGTAATCCAGAAATTAAAGAACGCATTGAGATTATGAAGCCGTTTATCGAGAATGAAACTTCTGAAGATATTCACGATTATAACTTTTCTTTGGTAATGCAAAATGTACAAGGATTAAAACAGCATTTTATCGATTTCAAATCCCAGTGCCAATTTGTGAATGTAGATTGTATTTGCTTGACCGAAACATGGATTAATGATGATGATCTCTGTGACGTTATTTTAGATAACTTTCGATTTTATCATCAGCCACGACATCTGTCATACTGTAATTCTGGAGTTGGAAATGTACTCAAAGAACAATCGCACGGAGGTGTTGCAATGTATATCAAGAATACATATTCAAGTAGATTAAACATATCTGTCGACAACTTAGAGTTTATCGCAATTCTTGTCACCAAACCAGTTTCTGTTGTGATTTCAGTTGTTTATCGACCTCCATCATATAGTATCAAATCATTCTGTGAATCATTAGACAATTTGCTAGATGCATTACACAAAAGAAGCATTAGGTGTATTGTGATGGGAGATTTTAATGAGGATTTGTTTAAAGGTTCTTCACAGGTAAACAAGCTGATGTGTAATAAAGGTTACAAACAGCATGTTGTTAATGGTACTACTGAGAAGGGGACATTGATAGATCATGTGTACAGCAAGGGACTAGATTTATTGGAAACAGAGGTCATCCCTACATATTATAGTTACCATGAAGCTGTTAAGATTGCATTTTGATATTTATTGTAAGGCCAAATAAAAAATAAAACATGTTTAGCGTCCTGTTTTTTTGAAAAAAAGGAAGGAGGCCCTTTACACCTAGAGTAATTTGGCAATTCTATGACATATCTTTTTGCTTTGAAAATGTTACATTGGGGTTGCAGAGACAGAATACTTTTTATGTCAAATGCGTTCATTAATAAGGTTAACACTTTTAAAAAAGAAAAATTCAGTGCTGATCATATTCCTAATCTTCAAATGATTTTTTTTATTTCACTTCAGATAACTGCTTCAGATGACTGCAAAGCGCAACGTTGCAAAGCTCATTTCTACAACCCTAGTCACCAATGACAGTGCACCACCATATCCCTTTGCTCACCAGTTCAAACAAACTACCGCCCTCGAGTCAGAAGGCTGTCCTCATCATCCAACACACAGCAACATCACCCCAGGAATTCAGCCCTCCGGTGATACCTGGTTCAGTGAAGACTAGGCCTTGGGGAGTGTTTACGGCTCTGTCATCATAACAGCATTATGGCAGAAGTATGGAACACCAGCATATACAGGGTAAGGAAAGATTGCCAAACTAAAATGTTTGAAAAAGCCTAACCCTACTGTACTGAGTTATTTCAAGCTCCTCCGGATAGATGGTTGACCTCGGCCACTACACTGTTGATTCCCACAAAATTGGCACACCTGGAGTAATTTGGCAATTCTATGACATATCTTTTTGCTTTGAAAATGTTACATTGGGGTTGCATAGACAGAACACTTTTTATGTCAAATGCGTTCATTAATAAGGTTAACACTTTTAAGAAAGAAAAATTGAGTACTGTTCATATTCCTAATCTTCAAATGATTTTTTTAAATTTCACATCTTGAGATAACTTCTTCAGATGACTGCAAAGCGCAACGTTGCAAAGCTCACTTCTACAACCCTAGTCACCAATGACAGTGCACCACCATACCCCTTTGCTCACCAGTTGAAACAAACTACCGCCCTCGAGTCAGAAGGCTGTCCTCATCGTCCAACACACAGCGGTAACATCACCCCAGGACTTCAGCCCTCCGGTGATACCTGGTTCAGCGAAGACTAGGCCTTGGGGAGTGTTTACGGCTCTGTCACCAAAACAGCATTGTGCGGAAGTATGGAACACCAGCATATACATGTAATGTATCAGGACCTTCACAGGGTAAAGAAAGATTGCCAAACTAAAATGTTTGAAAAAGCCTAACCCTACTGTACAGAGTTATTTCAAGCTCCTCCTGATAGATGGCTGACCTCGGCCACTACACTATTGATTCCCACAAAATTGGCACACCTGGAGTAAATTGACAATTCTATGACATATCTTTTTGCTTTGAAAATGTTACATTGGTGTTGCATAGACAGAATACTTTTTATGTCAAATGCGTTTATTAATAAGGTGAACACTTTTAAAAAAGAAAAATTCAGTACTGTTCATATTCCTAATCTTCAAATGATTTTTTTTATTTCACTTCTTCAGATAACTTCATCAGATGACTGCAAAGCGCAACATTGCAAAGCTCATTTCTACAACCCTAGTCACCAATGACAGTGCACCACCATATCCCTTTGCTCACCAGTTCAAACAAACTACCGCCCTCGAGTCAGAAGGCTGTCCTCATCATCCAACACACAGCGGTAACATCACCCAAGGACTTCAGCCCTCCGGTGATACCTCGTTCAGCAAAGACTAGGCCTTGGGGAGTGTTTACGGCTCTGTCATCATAACAGCATTATGGCAGAAGTATGGAACACCAGCATATACAGGGTAAGGAAAGATTGCCAAACTAAAATGTTTGAAAAAGCCTAACCCTACTGTACTGAGTTATTTCAAGCTCCTCCGGATAGATGGTTGACCTCGGCCACTACACTGTTGATTCCCACAAAATTGGCACACCTGGAATAATTTGGCAATTCTATGACATATCTTTTTGCTTTGAAAATGTTACATTGGGGTTGCATAGACAGAACACTTTTTATGTCAAATGCGTTCATTAATAAGGTTAACACTTTTAAGAAAGAAAAATTGAGTACTGTTCATATTCCTAATCTTCAAATGATTTTTTTAAATTTCACATCTTGAGATAACTTCTTCAGATGACTGCAAAGCGCAACGTTGCAAAGCTCACTTCTACAACCCTAGTCACCAATGACAGTGCACCACCATACCCCTTTGCTCACCAGTTGAAACAAACTACCGCCCTCGAGTCAGAAGGCTGTCCTCATCGTCCAACACACAGCGGTAACATCACCCCAGGACTTCAGCCCTCCGGTGATACCTGGTTCAGCGAAGACTAGGCCTTGGGGAGTGTTTACGGCTCTGTCACCAAAACAGCATTGTGCGGAAGTATGGAACACCAGCATATACATGTAATGTATCGGGACCTTCACAGGGTAAGGAAAGATTGCCAAACTAAAATGTTTGAAAAAGCCTAACCCTACTGTACAGAGTTATTTCAAGCTCCTCCTGATAGATGGCTGACCTCGGCCACTACACTATTGATTCCCACAAAATTGGCACACCTGGAGTAAATTGACAATTCTATGACATATCTTTTTGCTTTGAAAATGTTACATTGGTGTTGCATAGACAGAATACTTTTTATGTCAAATGCGTTTATTAATAAGGTGAACACTTTTAAAAAAGAAAAATTCAGTACTGTTCATATTCCTAATCTTCAAATGATTTTTTTTATTTCACTTCTTCAGATAACTTCATCAGATGACTGCAAAGCGCAACATTGCAAAGCTCATTTCTACAACCCTAGTCATCAATGACAGTGCACCACCATATCCCTTTGCTCACCAGTTCAAACAAACTACCGCCCTCGAGTCAGAAGGCTGTCCTCATCATCCAACACACAGCGGTAACATCACCCAAGGACTTCAGCCCTCCGGTGATACCTCGTTCAGCAAAGACTAGGCCTTGGGGAGTGTTTACGGCTCTGTCATCATAACAGCATTATGGCAGAAGTATGGAACACCAGCATATACAGGGTAAGGAAAGATTGCCAAACTAAAATGTTTGAAAAAGCCTAACCCTACTGTACTGAGTTATTTCAAGCTCCTCCGGATAGATGGTTGACCTCGGCCACTACACTGTTGATTCCCACAAAATTGGCACACCTGGAGTAAATTGGCAATTCTATGACATATCTTTTTGCTTTGAAAATGTTACATTGGGGTTGCATAGACAGAACACTTTTTATGTCAAATGCGTTCATTAAT